TAAATTAGACAATGACTAAAGTTGTACGAGTGGCTAGTTGTACACTCTTTTTATGGTTGCCCCCTGTGGTTGTAATGTAACCATTAGCTGAATGTACTATCAATAAAATCCTGGGTCACAAGTACTCACCTTAATATTTAAAAAAAATAAAAAATAAAAAATAAAAAAAAAGGTAATATAGTAAAAATTGCAGTATAAAAAATTTAAATAAATAATATTTGTAATTAAATTGCTAATATGATAGCTAGTATAAAACTATTGGTAAACTCTTTAAATTAGATACAAAAAGTATATATGTACTTTTTAATATAACAATAACTTTATTAAAGCTTTGATTATAAATTTTTATATTATAAAATACTTAACTTTAAAAGAAACTGGTTTAATATAAATAAATAAATATATATAAAATAATATATAAAATATAATAATATATATAATAATATTAATAAATAAATAACTATTTATAATTATTTAATTAATTTTGTTTAATAATTTTTTAATTAATAATATTAAAAAATTAAATTATAAAAAAATATTTTTAACAAATTTAAAAAAATAATATTTTAACTTTATATAAAATAAATTATTTATTAATAAAACTAAAAAATATAAAATACTAAAAAATAAAATTATTTTTAGTAGTTTGTATTTTAAATTAAGCTTTTTTTAAATAAATTTTTTTAGTATATTTAGTATTCAAACTAGAAATATATTTTAAAAAATAGTAAAGCAAATACTTTAGTTAATAGAAGTTTAAAAATATTCTTATATAATTATTATAAGTTTTACTGTTTTTATTTTTTTTAAAAAAAATATATTTGTAAAAAGTAAATAATTTAATTTATTTTTTTAAAAAAATTAATATATAAATTTACTTAAAATAATTAGCAATATTTATTTTTTATAACTGAATTATTTATAATATTAATTAAAAACAGTACAATTAATAATAAATATAACTTATATATATATTTAAATAATTGAAAAAAATTGTTAAATCTTATTTTTAAACTGACAGTATTTAATATTAACTACTTTATAATACTAAATTAAAATTTTCTTATATGGTTTTTTTTTTTTAAAAAAAAATAGTAAAGTTTTTTTTTGTGTAAGTTTATAGTTATAATTATTGGTATTAGTAAAATTTAAACATATATATATATGTATATTCTATAAAAAGACCGTTATCAAATTAGTAATATTTTATTATAAGACAGAGATCAAATAAGCTTTTCAAATATAGTATTATTTTTAGTTTTATTTGGCTAGTACAAACAGATTACTTGTGAATGTTTTTAAAAGTTTAAAACATGTTTTGTATAAAATATATAATATTTTAAATAAAATGTTGCACGTAACAAGATTGGCAAAATGAAAAAAAAATTAGTAAATAAAAATATAAAACAAAACTTTATTTAAATATAAAAAAACAATAAATATATTGGTAAATAGGTCATACGTATACTGTATAAATATATTATACGTAGCAGGTTAAGAACTTATTTTAATTGCAAATATTAACTTTAATTATAATAAAAAATTATATAAATTATTTTCAAACTATACGTATAAATTTAATAAATAAAGTTTTTATCTATTAATAAAACATTGTAATAACAGATTACCATGAATAAAAATTAATCATATAAAACCGGTATGATTTTAAAGTTTAATAAAATCTTATCATTATATCAGATATGTATAATATTAATACGTAATGATATCAAAAATACAAAGTACTTATTGTACGTACGTACGAACTGTACATATACATATCTGATATCGGTATTAACCGTTTATAGAATTTCTACGACATCCCAAAAAATGGATTCGTGATTCGTAAGATTTTATCGACGATCATTTTTTCCATCTAGCCGACGTCACATATCACATAACTTGAAATAAGCTAAATTGATATCGTGATGTCGGTTAAATTGATGAGGTGATTGCCGGTGCCAAGAAATTAATGTTGATCAATTCGCGGTCAAACAAAATTAGGATATTTCGGACATTTCGGACATTTCGAATTATGCAAATCCGTAGGGATTGAAAATGTTCTTAAATATCAAAATCTATCGGACTTTGATTATGTAGGTACATAGGTACAGAAAAAAAACAAAAAAAATATTTTAGAAATTTATTTATAAATTTGACTGAATGAGTTAATTATGGATAAATTTTATTTAGGTTAGTCTGTGTAATTATTTAATCTATTACATAAGTACGTATGTACGTACCTTTTTTGACTTGGCTGTATTTTATCAGTAAATAACATGATTCGACATTTGTCGTGTAACTTATAAGGTTAGTAATATTAAAAATGACTCGGAAAACCAAATTTGATTAATACATTAATCACGTGAAATATAGAATTATGTCAGGTGGAACATGCTTTGCTTTTATAAATATAATAATTCAGAAACGGAGAATGGAAATGTCAATGTTTAATAGAAAGCATTCAAGCAAGCTGGAAATCATCCAAAAAAAGTTCATAATATAAAGAACATACCCCAACTTTTCTTTGCAAAGACTTGATTAGGCTCGTCATATTAACAAAAAAAAATTAATTGCGTCTATATGACTCATTAATTGCGTTTTGTATCACCAAAAGACTAAATATTTTTTACCACAGGTATACACAATAATAAAAACGTGAATATGCTTTACTATAATTAGGTTGCACACTCCTCCCGTTATCAATCTCCTTTCGCTACATTTTAATCCGTACGAAATAAATATGAACGGAAAAGATTGTCGCAGATGTCTTGCCCTTTTGTCTCAGATTGAGCAAAAAGATGCCATAATTGAAAAATATCGAAAAATTACGAAATACCAGTCTGATCTTATTCAAGATTTATCTAATGGAGGAAACCTTGATCTAACGCCGCCTATTATATCTTATGATAATGAATTCCTGGCAGTAACAACTCGATCAACCGGTAAATATGGTACAATTAACTTATTTATGTGCTTATTGACTTTGAATAAGAAATTTAAATCACAAAATATATTAATTAGTTGTCAGTAGTTCATTTTATCGAATTTATATCGGACCATTAACCGATGATATTGACAAAGAAACATTAAAGCAGAGTCTTGAGGCATCATTTGGTCCCGTGGATAGCCTTGATTTTATTCCCGGCAAGGTATTTATTTGGTGAAGTAACGATTTACAATCAATTTTTTTAAAAAACTAATTGATGTATGAATCTAGTCTTGTGCTTTTGCAAATTTCTCATCACCAACTGCGTTTAATAATGCTATTAAAGAAGGGGTTATTATTGTTAAAGATCATATGCTAAGTGTTGAACAAGCTAAGAAACCACCCAGGTCTCGAACTAATAGAAAGAAAGTAATAGTTTGAACAAAAAAAAAGAAATTCGGGAATTATTTGAACATTTAAGTATATTGATATTGACCACTTTTTTGCTAAGTAATTGCAAATATCTCTGATTTAAAATTATTTAAGTCAAAATGAGAGTAAAAAGTTTTAATGTCATATTAGAGATGTGCGCTGAGAGGATACAAGTTTGCTAAGTGCTTTCTTTAATTCATTGTTAAAGACTAGCCGATATAAAATTCGTTACATGATGATATTCATAATTAATGAATTAAAGAACTAAAGAACTAAAGAACGAGGAGAAAAAAACCAATCCTGTTTCACGAAATATTTCCTATAATAACGAAATGATTAATTTTAGTACAATTTTTTCAATGTATAATATACTTTTTTTCAGTATTACCAAAATAGATCAATGACATTTTAAGTTCACCGGGCGTTTTTCTCTAAGTCATAAAAGATCGGCCCAATCTTGATCTTTTTTGTTAATGTGACGTTTACAAAGATAATTTGCAAAATAAATTTTTTCTGACAATGAAATAATAATATCAAATATACATATATCTTAGTTCCTTAAAACGATTATGGTAAAGTGTATTTTCAATGTTTCAAAATATAAATTTATTTAAATACAGGTGTTGACAGTAATACAAAGTTTTGCATGTATATATAACTTTCGGGCATCTTTATAACCGAATGACGCAAGATTTATGATAACAGACTTTGTTCCCATCAATGTTAATGAAAGTTATTCTAAAATGGGGTTTTTTTTACACACCTATATATGTATTTCCAAGGTAAGCACGAGATTTATGAAAAAGCCAAAAACCTGGTCGCTCAGCGGACGGCCAAAGGGTCACAGATATCCAAAACGTACGTACGGCCCTGCATATTACCATACGTACATATGTACATTCAAACCGTTATATCCATACGTATTGATATGGATTTATAAATATATATATTTATGTATAAATTTATATTAAGGGTTTAAAATATGGTATTTTAGGTGATTCAGAATTCCATTTTATGAATTAAGTTAGACCAAAATTATGGTGTACATAAACGATAATAGTATCTTTTTTATGCGTGCTGTGAGACGCCTGAATATATAAAGATGATCAATTATTAATGGGTTTAGTAGTGTTTTTTTTTAAACACTACTAAAAGTAAATAAATAATTCGTATCAAAGCGAAAAGTTCTTTTTTATCTTGAACATTCCCTTTAACGAAAAAAAAATAATAAATAAATAATAAGGAAAAAAATAATAATAAATCATGATTGTATAAGCGTTTTTCTTTTAAATATTTCATAACCTTATATATTTTGTAACAACAGAAAAAAAAAAAACCCCCCGAAAGAAAAAAAAACGAAACAACTAAGTGTATAAAAAAGTGAACTATGAAGACTTTTAAATTCATATATATATTTTTTTGTATAACTTTTTGGTTTTTGGTCGCGTCTGTGACTGCGCAAAAAAACTCAACTAAACCAAGTTATTATATGGTTTTGATCTGTTGTTTTACAAGATGTGAACTTAGTCTGGTGATGAATCCTTTGAATTATAAAATGATAGTATGTATAAACGATAAAATACTTTTAACTTTTACTGTTCTTTCATTATTTACTTACATCTTTATTATCTTTATTGTTAGGGTCCAATAATCTTTTGGCCTAGTAATATGTACAATTCAATAGCAATAGGGCAATGGTTTGCGTATATAGATTGTACCAAAAATTCTACATCTTATGATATGATAACAGCTCAAGGAAACGGTTCCTCTGCTATAGTTTTATACTCTAAAGATGAATCTTGCACAGCTCCACCTATTTTATCCGATATTAAGGTTCCAGTATTCAATCAAAAATACGCAAACTGTTATAATGCAATCTCGAATTCAGTACAAGAACTAGGTCAGCCGCCTAATGCTGTTATCAGAAATAGTAATAAATCTCATCCTGATGGAAATCCCTTCAATAAGTATAATGAAGGAGGCAGCAACAGTGATGCTAAGGATAATTCAGCTCAACCTTATCAAACCGCCATGGTTGTATTGTATACGATATCTGGTGTTGTGTTAGGCCTGTTCTTTTTAGTAGTTATCACCAACGTTATTATAAATAGAGTTCGTTCTCAACAAGATTCCGGAATAAGTTCAAGTAATGATCCTAGTCAAAGTCCCAAACATGTTGGTATAGCAAAAACTGTGTTAGAAAGTTTTCCTGTTTATTTCTTCTCCCTACGAAATAATCCTGATGTTGTCAATAAAGATTTGGAAGGTGGTAAAGATATTAAAGACATAGGGTCGAAAGAAATGCAAACTGATGATAAAAATAATATACCATTAAATGATTTACCACAAGAAACTAATAAAAAAGATGAAACTTCAAAACTATCTGAAATCGAGGGTGACAAATCCTCAAATAATGATAATAAAACTTCAAATAATCAATCGATATCTGAAACTTCTGTACTCCCCCCTTCAATTTCTAATAAAGTTACTGAAGAACAATTAACTTGTCCAATTTGTCTGGGTGATTTTGAATCTGGTGAAGAATTGAGAATTTTACCATGTCACCATCAATATCATACGTGAGTTTTTTTTTTTCTTTTATTCTCTTTATCTCTTTAAATCTTGTCTATTTTCTGATCTTACACTATATTTTAAAGTTCTTGCATAGATCCATGGCTTCTTGAAATTTCTACTTTATGCCCCATGTGTAAGGCTGATTACACATCTTGGAATGAAGAATCATCTGCATCACACGGTGAAGCATCAACATCAGTAGTACCAACTCCTCAGAATGAAACAGATGAAACGACCTCTTCAATTACCTCTTCAACGACCTCTTCACATACCTTCCCACATTTCCGATGGATAAAATATTTAACTTCTGCTCGTCGTGCCAGAAATGAACGAAGACGCAATAGGCGTTCACGAAATGGACATTCTGATAACCTCATTCAAACCGATCAAAATGAATCTTGACACAAATAAAATGTTGGCTGCTACTCGTTAAGTAAAAAAAAAAAAAAAATCAAAATAAAATAATGAGATTTTCAAGTATAATCTTACGCGTACCTTTTTTTTTTTTTTTTTTGCAAAATTTTAAATTCAAATTTTTCTCCAAACTTTGTAATTTTTCTAAAAAAAAAAATTGTTTTTTATGTTCCATAAAAGATTTTGTATTATATTTACTTTTGATAGGAGTGTTTTAATTAAAGAATTGATAACTTTCATTTTGTATTTTACACAAATAATTACAGTTATAAGTAATTCAAAAAGAGAACCTCTTTTTTTTTCTGGTACTATTACCATGAGACGCTGAGTAGGCGTACTTTATTATCAATACTACTAATTATACATTGTGTAGGACTACATTCTATATTTTGATAAGTAAACTATTTTTCCCCTTGTTATTATTGCAACCATTTCGTAGACTGTAAGGTTCTCTCTTGACAGTATGGGAGATACTATTTTTAACTGCAGCTCGTCAAGGCAGAATGAATCTGTCCTAAAAAGACCAAATAAGGAAATAAGGTTCGGTCTTTTATAACTGCTCTTATGAATTTTCTAAGACAAATCAAAAACTTCGGTTCGGAATATCATTTCGGAGTTAGACGATTCATAAGATGAAACCGAAGAGATTCAGGAAACAGGCCGAGTAAATTATAATTGGTCTCATAATTATGAACCAGTGAAATGAATAATTAAAAAAATAATTGTTCCTTTATAACAATTATAAACAACTGACATTGGCGCGTTATTTTGATCACCTGTTGCTTCGGTACGCCCATGCGCGATATTTCAAAGTATCAGTTCCTGAACTATTATTACTATATATATATAAACTATTGCCACTATCGCTATGTATAAATTCACTATTATTTGAGGTTTGATACGCCCATTAACGCCATTTTGACGTCAAATATGCTATTATTTGAAGGATCCAATCTTAGGTAACATATATAGTTGGAGGCAGAAAAAATTCGCGATCAAGTGATCGTGACCCAATCAACGATCAATAACTTAATTTGGGTCAGATATCACCTGATCGCGAATTCTATGTATCGGCGGCCGAAATAATTTCCAGAGTTAAGAATTAATATATAGACGAAAGATTTTTTAAAAATAACATTATTACTTGAAATTCTTTATTTGCAATGATCGATTTCCTTATTTCCACTTGTTCACCTTGTACATTCGTTAAAATTAATTCTTAAATCTGGAAATTATGCGCCTAAAATAATGCCCTTGGGCGTTATTTCGTGACGATAAGATATCGAGATTTTACAATAATTAAGTTTCGGGATAGAAAAACTTTAACAGATCGGTTTTATTAAATACCGGATCTATCCTTAAAAAGAACTTGCATATACTTTTATATACTTGAAATATCGAATTTGGTGAGAATTTTACGTATTAAAAATTAGAGACTGTGCATTTTGTGTTTATACGTACGTAGTATATGCGTATATTTTATATATAAGTTGATTGTTAAATGTTTTGTTTTGTTTAATAATAGTAAGATTTCTAGATTTGTTTTTTTTTATTAGATATACTACTAAACATAGTAAAGAATTGAACGCCTAACTCACTTTTATTATCAAATATTTTTACAACAAATTGTCATATGCGTATTATAATCTATTTAATGGCGTATTATAATCTATTTAATGCATATATGTGTACGTATATTTATTTAAAAATTTATAAGAATTTATCACTCAATAATTAAATACAAACAAGTTTACACAATGCTCTTAAAAAAAAAAACAACTGCAAATACTAACACAAATAAGGGTATATAGTTATTTTTAAACATAAACTAGAAGTTTTAAGGTATGTTTTATTTGAATTATTTAGCAACATGTGTTCGACTTAATATCCGGAATTCTGCAGTACCAAAAATACTGTATGTGCAGAATCCTGCTTTTGGTATGATTCAAGCAGGCGAAAATCCGAAAATCTGTTTGTCGAATTTATAAATTTTCTTTAATAAATTATTTATAAAAATAAATTTTACTATATTATAAAGTTGAAAGTTTATATGTTTAAACCTGTCTTGATACTTAATATTGTTAAAGTTTAGAATATTTTTTTAAAAAAAAGAATGTCTAAGCCGTCTAAGCTATTTCTTTTTTAAACAAATTAGTTATTGTACTGCAAATAATCGAATAAACTAATAATTTTCTATAACAAAACCGTATTAACAAAAATTTTTTACACCTATACTTGATCATTTTATTAATATATAAAATTACTAAAAATAATAATAGTACTTAGTTTATAAACTTTAAGTTTAACAATATTTAGTGTTGTTTTTTACAAGATTTTTGAAATTTCGCAATATTAAAATTATTTTTTTTACTAAATTATTTCAAAAACTATTTAGTTAATCAGTGCAGGATGTTTTAAATAAAAATGGTTTGCAACCCGAAAACCTTTTTTAAACCCTAATTCTAATTCTAAAAATTATATATACAAAATTTAAAGCTTAAACATTTAAAAAAAAATAATAATAAAGAAAAGAGGATTTCTAGTTGTACCCAGTAGGTATGATACTGGTATAAGAAAAAAAAAGAAATCCATATCAAGCATAGAACATGTTCTATTAAAATATTATATTTACAGATCAAATAAATAACTTATTATAATTATATATATATAATTTGTATTATTTAATAATAAAAAGGTTGTAGATTTAATTTTTAAACATTCTTTTAAAATTTCTAACATTTGAAGATTCTTTTTACAAAATTTTAAAGATGTTTAAAAATAAAATAGAAAAACATTATAACTACAAACTTAGTATTCAAATCTCATCTATAATGAAATTTGAAAATTATACTTATGTTATGGCAAACTGTTTCTTGATGATTAGTTGAATTAGTATATTTGTAATCCTAGGTTGCACTATCTTAAATAGGAGTCAGAACATCTATATAAAGTGTAATATTACATGTATATAAAAAAAATGCTTACTAGTATTGCAAAAAACTTCAGTACAAACTTATAGTAAAATCATAAGTACAAAAAACTAAGAAATTAAAAAAATGAAAGTCTACTTAAAATTCTTAAATAAAAGATAACAAACTTTTGATATTACTGTTAGACTAATAAAAATTTTCAAACAACCTTTAAAAAAATAAGTAAATAAACTAAATAACAAGTATATATAAAAAAAACATATATACCAATTAGGTTACTAAAAATCATTAGAAAAAAAATACAATAGTATATTAAAAGTCTGTTTATAAATTTACTAGATTATCTAAATCAGTAGTTTAAAAAATTCTGTTAATTCTAAATATGAAGGTTTAATAAAAGATAATATTAAAAAAATAGGTATTAGGATTTACAGATAAGCATTTAGAATTTTATAACTAATATATATATATTAAAAATATTCTAATAATACAATAAGAATTGCAATACAAAAGATTTAAATAAGCAATACTTATAGTTAATTTTAAAATAATATTTTAGAATTTTTTTTTTTGTTAAAGGCCATACTTGTGGCGATACTTTATTGACTTTATATCAGGTTAGCTATTACAACTATTTTTACAGAGATGAGAGTACAAC